CATTTGAACCTACGGGTCTTGCCAACGCCATTACTGGTTACCATCTCTTGAACTTTCTTTTTTTTTTTTTTTGACCACTGGCGTCTCGGGTGTCCAAAATGGACTCATTTTGATACCAAGGCCAGGCCTGGAAAGATCGAATCAGACCTGTCTGCTTCCTTTTCGCCTGGTACCTGTAATATTATCGGAGGGTCCTATCTTGTTTAGGGTTTATTTTGCTTCTTCCATTGGCTTTCGTCCCACTTTCGCTTGGTTATTTCGTGTTACTGTCCTATCTTTCCATCTTGCCGCTCAGACAAGGCCTTGGCTTCTGCGCCTTTCTTTGTGTGTTAGGCATTTATGTGGTGAAGCTACCTAGTTCCTTTTGGGGCTCACGGTATGCTTGGTTTACGGGTGAAGGATTGCATGATAAATACCCCATTTGCGCATTCTCACAATAGAGATCGACGTTAAGCTTCAATTGTTTCTCGTAAAGCTGTAAACACATGGAATCAAGTCTAGTTCTAGTAGGTCCAATCGGCGAGGCTTCAGGCTGTTTGTTGATTAGAACGGAGATAGCGATAAGCAAGAACATCTCCAGGGCTCCAACACAAATTTTCCCTTGCGCATCCTCTCCACATCGCGACAATGGCTGAAGAATCTCATCCGGCATACCTCTCGCCCAGCGAGCTGGGCACAAAAGACTAGTATGTGTGTGTCCTTTTCAGCCGCACCCTCCTCCCTTGCTGGACACAAGGACCGGGGAATTCATGAACCCCGCTCTGCCCCTCCATAAGTGTTGCAGACAGTGAAACAGCCCCTGCGAATGCAGCAACAGATCCATTAGACTACCAACTGATCTGCATGACAATATTTGAACAAAGTTTTGAACATAAACTAACAATCCAAACCTAGCTGGGAATCCTACTACGCCCGCACGCTAGCCCACATCTCGCACGAAGCTCCTAGGAATAACCCCAATGCCAATGAAGACCAGAATGATGACGATGTTGCATCAACCTCCGACCTAAATGAAGAAGATGACCCAGGCACATCCTGGTTCTCAGAACACAACGCCCCGCAAAAAGTCCTCCACTTTCTCACGCGCAAGTCCTTTCCCTTGTCACCGCGCAACACAGCACACAAAGGCTCCCACCAGCCAAGTGTTCTAGATCTTGGTACGGGGAATGGGAGTATGCTTGCGCTACTTAAGAAGAAAGGCGGGTATAAAGGGCGTCTTGTTGGCGTTGATTACTCGCGTCAGAGTATTGAGCTTGCGAGGGAGTTGCAGCGTGTGAGAGGACATTCGGCTTATCGGAGTGACTCTGAGGATGAGGATGAATCTGATGATGAAGAGGAAGTAGAGGGGGAGGCCGAGGCCGAGACAGAGGCTGGATCCAATGACTTGCCGGAACAAGAAACATCTATCCAGTTCGAGGAGTGGGATATCCTCAGCTCGAAGGCTCTTCTTTCTGAGACGGGTCTCGGGATATCACCTTCCTCGGAGGAAACACTCCCCTGGTTCCCCTACAATGAAGGCGGCTTCGACATCGTGCTCGACAAGGGGACATTTGACGCTGTCTCGCTAGCCGATGATGCAAAGACCACCCGTGTCTGCGAGAGATACCCTGATATCGCACGGCGCTTAGTGCGGCGTGGAGGGTTCCTGATTGTTACTACCTGCAACTGGACTGAGGAAGAGCTGGTGCATTGGTTCACTGGTGGCCGGACGAGTGGGGATCGGTTGGCGGTTTGGGGCCGTGTTGAGTATCCTCGGTTCCGGTTTGGAGGACATGAGGGGCAAGGTGTTTGTACGGTGTGTTTCCAGAGGCTTGGGGATGATTGATACCTGGACCTGCGGAATACTATGCAAACTATAACCCCAAGCAAAACAAAGACGAACTACAGATAGCCAGTATAAAGATATGCTGAATATAGTACTGAAATATTACCATCATTGTTCTATTTCACGCTCGTAATCTCATCATGCAAGGGAACTGAGATTTGGCTCAAAATGCACATGCCATCATTAAAACCATAACCCACAATTCTACTCCCCCTTCCTCTTCAAAACCGCAATAACACACCATCTCTTCTGATTCTCCGTACCCTCCCCTTCCCTAACCGGAAGCCATTCCCTGCGAATCTCACCCCCATCTTCCAATCTCGCAACCAAATCCCTCTCATAGATCCTCTCGACCACGAACCCATTCTTAAGAACCGTCTCAAAGAAACCGGCAACAATCGCGCGTCCCGTATGGAACCCAGCAACGACCCACACCTTTCCACCTGGTGAAAGGAACCATTGCATTGTTCGGGCGAGGTTCTCATGCTGCGAGGGCATCCAGAAACAATCTGCCGCAACGACGCGGGAGAAGGAACCCTTGTTCGCCGTCGAGAAGGAATCATCTAACACACCCCATTCGTGCGGATGCATTGAAATTCCCCTCGCGGCCGCGTGCCCGCTCTTTGCTACATTGTGCTCTATATTGAACGCGATTGCGCCGCTGAGCGCCGGTGACGAGGGGTGGTCTGTTGCCACAACCTTCGAGGCGCCGGCTAGTGCACAGATTACTGATGGGAGGGCGGCACCTGTAGATAAATGAATGTATTAGTTTTGAGTTGGTTGGGGGTGGGCAGTATAAACTGCGGCTTACCAGCGCCTAACTCGAGCACACTGTCGCCCTTGATACTCCACAGCTCCCGGTTTTCTCTCTTGGCTTCTGTCTCTGTTTCACCTTGTGCTGCAGGTGTATCCGCTTCCTCGACACCCTCTGCAACGACCATTGCCGCGCTCCAGAGGAAATGCGCGAAGAGTTTGCGTCCCTCGTCGACCTGGTTCACGGAGCCGTCTGTCTTAGTTTGGCCTGCGGCGATCTCTTCGGAGCGCTTGTCGCTTGAGCTCGGGTAGCTAGGGACCATGATGTTGAGGTCGCCATAGCGCGGGGAGCTGTAGAGGAGGTGTTGGCCTGGGTCGCCGTGGAAGGAAGGTGCGTCGTCTGGGAAGAGGTGGGGGAGGAATGCACCGAAGAGTTCTTCGGTTGATTCCTCGTGTTCGCCGACCTCTTGGTTTTGGAATTCTGGCGCTGCGGTGCTGGGTGTGTTGGGATAGTGGCGGCGGGGGAGGGGCCGTAGACGGGAATGGAGCATTGCTGAGGGATTTTTTTGGGAGTTAGTATGTGGTGGGATTGGATCTGGTATGTACGAAGTAGAGATCTCGAAGGTTTTCAAGGTTGCAGGGATATATGATTGGAAAGTCAATTGACCTATTATATGAGGCCATTGCGACCCTTCCCGAGTTCTGCACAATCTCTATTTCTTATCCGGTCTACGGGTGTTTTGATAAGGGTTGACAAAATATGTTTGCATTGTTTGACTTGGTGTGTATTAGGTGAGATTCCCTCCTTTCAGTCCACGGGTGGAGGTCCGACCACATCATGGTAATTAATAAATGGAGCAAATATTCACTGGGACTGAAGCGTTGTCTTGATAACGCCATTTGAGGGAATAATTTCAACAGCTAACAGCTATGGTAGCTCTCGGTAGCTCTAATAATTGGATCGACAACGATCCAACTTTCTAACCCAATAATACTGACAAGAAGAATGTCCCGGGTGTCTCAGCCGCAGGTCAAGAATGACGGGCCAGGAACCTTGGGAATGTGCCAAAAAGAAGACAGATCAGGGGCTTCCTCCTCAAGGGCGCCAAAAATAATTCCGCCCGCGCTCGTGCGCAAGAGGGGAGTGTGACGCTCGGAGTAATGATCCTCTCCTGCAGGTGTTAGCGTGTTAGCGTGTTAGTGTGCGAGATGGCGCGACCTGATCGTAGGAATGTGTGCAGGTGGTGACCTGAGCGATTACCTAACTGACACCTGTCCGCTCGCCTGGGGCCCTCCAGTGTCTCGGGCTATGTGATAAGCCACAATTCCTGCCCAGGTGTTTTCCACAGAAGATATTCCAAGGTCCTTATGCTGCAACACGGAGTACAAAAAAGGAAATCGTATTAAATTAGATCGTATCAGCTGGAGGCTATCAGGTGATATTCTTGACTAAGCCAATGACATCATTGGCCCCCACCACATCCACTCTGTTCCGAGCACTAGACCGGTCGATGCTATGCAGGTGATCTGGATACATGGCGAAGCGGTACTTTCTAAGTCACTAGTTTAAGTGCGGCCATCTCCTATCAAGACACATTCGTCATTGCCCGGGTGGGAACCAAGTAACCTCATTGGTACTTGAATCCGGAGTCCAGCTGTCCATCTTGTGACCCTAGTTGATCGTCAGGCAACTGTTTTTTTTTTTTTTAAGCAAAAGTGTTCACTTCTTAAGGTTGCAATATTTTCCATACAAAGTATAAAAAGACATAGTTACCAAGGAGGAATTGGATAATTATTTTTATAGTTAAGGCTGGACCCATGGCTCTATCCTTCAGAACCAGGGCGCAGGCCCTTCCCCTGTACGGAACGCTATCCGAGCAGGGCTAGGAATTAACACACATATTACATATTTAAGAATATGCCCAACATTCGCCATCCGAATTCGCTAGAATCGAAAGGGTTCTGTTACTATTAAGTCTTTATTCGGACGGATCCACTCTGCTATCGCATCAGAGGCATTGCGACACACACACACACAGATATAACACATATAGGGCATGCTTAGGGGATATAGAATATAAAATTATCAAGTACAGACAAGAATATAGTCCAAAGGCATACATATCTTCAAATATATTAGCAATAATATACCAAACCCGTATGTGTGACTGGTGATCACTCCCCCCCCGCATGCTCAAAGGGAAAGGCCCCCGCAAACCTGAGCGAATTTGGCTCATACCGGCCCTGACTCTTTCTCTCCTTCTTTCTCCTCTTTTTTTCCCCTTCCACCTTTCTTTTTTTGGATTCCCTCACTTTTTTCTTTATTCGCTCTCATTCTCTCTCTTCATTTCCTCTTATTCTCGCATTCATTGCCTTCATCTACCTATACATCTCGCATCCGGAACTTCGCCTTTATTTCACCTTCTCTACATTGAGGGCAACTCGTGTCCTAGAGGATTTTCAATTCCATTGGAAACTTCCTCTCAATTCTTACCATGGCCTCATTCAAGGTAGGTGTCCGGAATTTCCGCCTGACACCTGTTTTTTTTTCTAAGGGCCATACTAATGTATCGGCCCCTTTGGCCATTCATAGGAATTATCCATGTCGCGTCCTCTCCCAAATACTAGCCAGCGGCACCACGCGCATTCGATCTCGCTAGGCGCCCTCAATCCAAACCACCGTGTAACTCGCCGAAAGAGTGTCACCACCGCCGCTGCCAATGCTGCCGCCGCAGTCGCTGCCTCCATGGAGGGCGGAGAGGCTACCTCGCTCCCTATGGGTGCGCACCGCCGCGGCCTAGCAGGCCGCAAGGGAGTGGAATCCGGCTCCATCGGAAATGTATCTGGCTTCAGCTCCTACCTATCCCGCAGTATCAACAGCCCCAGCCAGGAATCACCGGTCGCCCGCAAAGGTTCCCCGGGCTCGGACCAATCCGATGGCAAGCCCAAGAACCGGAACCGCCGAGCCAGCGAGGGTGCCCAACTCAAGACCGAAGGGAAGCGTGCTTCGACGGCCATACGTTGCGATCGCTGCGGGAAAGGGTATAAGCATGGCAGCTGCTTGTCTAAGCATATGTGTGTATCTCCCCTACCGCTCGGCCGTCTTCCTCTAGCTCGATCGGGAATATGCACCATGTCGGCTCTGTGCAGGTCGCCCTCGTGGTTATTCAACTCCCCTTTCGTCACTGCCCCCCTTTTTTCCACCCCTTTCATCAACATTTGATTGACGTGTTTTTTTTTCGTGGTATCTTAGGTGGGAACACGACCCAGCATGGTCCGTCACTTCGAAGCTTCTCATCTCCAAGCACCAGCAGGTTCAACTGCTGGAGGCCGCGTCCGTTTTGGTCACCATGAACCACGATGATCCACCCGATGAGTCCGCCGAGTTGGAGTCGGAATTGTCGTCTGGATCGCCGGACGCGCTGTCAGAAACGCGGGATGGCATCAGTTCCACTGAGACCACGCCACCCCCAATGGACTCGGAGGAAGACGACGATTTCGAGATGTCGGGTGTGCCGGCACAGTGGACCAAACGCCCCAGCGTCAGCAACGCCTCCGGTTTCTCTCGTTCCTACCAGTCCATTCCCTCCAGCTCGTACAACGAGAGTGCTCCGCTGCACTCGCCTACCTTCTCCCACTTCCGCCACTCGAGCATCGATACCCGCCCCTCGACTGCAGATACACGGTTACACGAGGATGATGAGGCGGACCTTGCCGCCGCTATCGGCCTGTGCAATTTCGGGACTCCTCGCACGGGACCTGTTTCCATGACCCCTGATGTGCCACCAGTGCCTCCACTGCCGGCGCGCTACTTGGACTCAAGCAGCCACCCGAGCAACCATGGTCTCCACTCCCTTCAATCGCGCCCCATAGAAGAGCCCGCTCGCCGAGACTCCGAGGCCAACATCGATGTTTTCTTGTCCCGGTCGCTCAACCCGTCGCTGTCGTACAAGGTGTCAGATGAGCGCGAAGTCCGGACTGGTGGTGACGAGGCCCAGAAATCTCGCCAACGTCGCAACGCCGACGTGGACTTTGGTAACCGCTCTGCGCCAGTGGATGACGACGATGGCGGTGTCTTTGGCCATATGGAAGAGTAAATCTTCCAGTACCGTCCGCGCTTGCGCCCCTCCGAGCCAGTCCTTGGGTCAAATCGGCGCATGCCGAACGACGACCCCTTCATGATCTCATGTACGAGCTTGAGCGAATTTTTTGAACCTTCTTGTTTACATCTTTATGACCACTCCTGGAGAACAGAGCCACTGGCAATAATCGTTCAGGGCTCTTTTCTCAACGGAGTGTCACAATTCTCGGGACCTTTTTCTTCACTTTTGAGATCCCATGTATCAGTCATGTCTCCTTGGCCCGCTTTGTGCTTTCTTTGTGTTTGTTTTGCTGCAGCTTATTCTGGAAACACCCATAAATGCCGTATGGCCGGCGCATATTATCATCCCCAATACTTATATCCATAGAGACATGACACACCACTTTCATGTCCTCTATGCTTCTCGTTTGTCTTTCTTTTTTTGTTCTGTTTTGGCCTCTCACCTCGCACATATATACCAAACACAAATTCTACGATCCGCTTCCCTACTTTCCCCACGTGTATCTCGTCCGTTCTTTTCTCTCCCTTATCTCCTTGTCCACACCTCTATATCTCCTCGCCTATGGTCTCTCACTCGCGTGTACTCAATTGACCCTTGGACGGGGCATACAATGAATATATCTCATGAACGTATATTGTTTTAGAATGTAGATCTACCGGTCCTTTCCATATCTGTCTGCGTACCTGTACATAATAAGCGGGGAAGCAGAAGACATAGACTCACTACGGGCAAAGGTCCATCTTTGTTTCGAATCTGTGTTTCGCCACAGGTGAAGATGCAAGGTAAACAAGTAAACGGGATCTAGTATGGTCTTTCAGATTACAGAATGAGGCATACTTCTCCTTTCATTTGTGTTCCAATACCTTAGGGTGTTGGGACCGTCAACTGGTGCCAAGCTGAACATCCATATGGCATCCACCGAACCTAGATCAACAAGTACACTAGCGGTGGAGATCGGTCAGGACAATGTGAAACAATGCCAATTGGTTTCGTCTCAACTGAATTGTGGGGTTCAACAGCTAGTCGAAGGGACAGTTCCCTAGTTTGGGATATGAGTTGATGAAATGCTAGGCAAAAAAAGGCGATACCCATGTTTGGGTCTCCATGGGTGTATATCAGCGTTGGGTATGAGGCCTAAACCAAGTAGATCATTATGCGCCATGAATTGTTCATTAAGCAGTGAAGGAATTGACCGAACAATAAGTATAGAAGATCAAAAGCAAAATAAACGCAAAGGGGGTATTCGCAATCTTTCTTTGAATCAGCTGCCTCCACCACAGCCTCCTCCTCCACCACCACCACCTCCTCCGCAGCCACCACCGCCGCCGCCTAAATAACCAAGTCAGCATGTAATTCCGTCTATCGAATGCGATAAAGAAGACCTACCACCACCACCACCTCCTCCTCCTCCGCAGCCACCACCACCTGATCCGCCTGTATAGGAACGTATCAGAATCCATAGCAAGTCGAGTTCATAAAGAGACTTACCACCGTCTCCACTACTGGCACAGCCTCCTGCGCAGCCACCTGCGGCTACAGTACCACCTTTTGACAAGTCAACTTCACTCGATGCTTGCAGCAGGGTGTATGAAAAGCTTACCACACGTGCCAGAACAACAGTTTCCATCGGCGCTAGTAAAATTCACGCAGGCAGGGTTATCTGCGTACGAATGACAGTTGATGGACGGGTCCATCATATACGGTGCATAAAACGGCATCACAATGGGGTAGCCGAATGCATAAGGCATGTAGTATTGGGGGTCACCCTGACTATTAGAAGATTTGGAGTCGGATCGTTGACCACGCTTCTCCGCACGTCGGGCAGCCTTTTGGTAGTTGCTTATTAGACGCTTCTCTTGCATGGTTCTAAACAACCCACACCGGTAGTACTTGGTTGTTGGCCGGATGGCATTGTGCGAAGAGATATGTGGGTTCTTGTTTGGGTCAGATGAGACGTCGGGACGATCGTGCAAGAGGTCTGCAGCAGCTCGGGCGCGAGATACCGATCCAGCAGTGATCCACCGGTCATACAGGTCTGGTGTCCGTGTTGCCTCGCAGTACCAGCAGGTGCATTCGCTGTATACGCCGCCGTCGGTGAGACGGCGGTACATTTTGCTAGTCCAGGCAAAGCCGTCGGAGAGCTTTCCCTCTTCAACTTTGTCGTCATGGTCGATGAACGTGCGTTTACCACCCAATGGTGCCTTGGACGTGCTGTATTTGTAATACCGGGATGGGCTGAGTTGGTGTGTGTGCCAGGCCAGGTCGACGTCCAGTGTCGGCACGGCCATATGACCTGGGTTCTCAATCATAATCCGGAAGAACACTTCGTATTTTTTAATAAGCCGGTCCATAGTGTCGAAGACTGTTGGCGAGTGCAGCCAGTCGATTCGGTCCATTTTATCCACGAAGGTCCCTTGTCTGATAACAGCGCCCACGAGGTCTAGCGCGAAGGGACCGAGGTTCTCCCAGTACCGAGACATCATTCTCCTGAGTTGAATCTTCTCGCCAGGCCGGAGACTATTAAGGTAGACACCATGTGTCTTCATCAAAATCTTTTTGTTCCATAGCTTGACGCTGAGTTCGTACCTCAGGTCGGCGATACACTTACACCGATCTACTCGACCATCAGTGAAGTCCATTAAGTCCTTTCCGACAGCTTGGACGATCCGTGTGGCGAATAGCATGTCTCCGAGGTTACCACGAGTGGTCTTAATAATTGAGCTCCCCTTGGGGATCCCCTGAAGATTGGTGAACGACCCGGGCATAGGGAGGTTCTCGTAAAGAGTTGCTGCAAGATCTTTTCGAAACTTTGCCACCTTGAGTCGGTGATGGTCGATGAAGCGTTGACAGCCGACGCATATCTCCGTAAATGAATCATCGGCGTAGCCATGGCTATATTTGAAGGCTTGAGCAGGACTGCCAAGGTCAGGTTTTGTCCACGGGACATCGTTCACCCGTCCGCAGTAGGTGCAGTTGACTTGCTTAGTCGATGGGTCGTGCAGATTGTTCCACTTGATGTTCAGTTTCTGCTCGAACAGCCGCTGGGCTTGTTCAGAAACGGTGTACTCCATCGTGTGATTGTTGATGCAGCGATCTATCACTTCCCATGGAAATCCTGTTACCCAGGTGCTTATTTTACCGTATCGAATGCAATCCTCAAGGAAGTTCCGAGGATTCAAACAATGAGCATGCCAGACCATTAAGATATCTATAAAGTAATTAGTCAACCGCCTTTCTGCCTAGGATCAATAGACTCACCCAGCGGGGGTAGATTATCCGTGTCCCATGCAACTATAGTATCACAAATAAGGATATTTTCATAATCTGTACTCTCCAAGTCATCAATAGTTGCCATCGGTCTTGACTGGGGGAGGCCAATAGACCACCACTTGGTATATCGATCGACGGCACGTGCTGTATATACGGCCCAGCGCTTCTCACGAATACGAGCGCGTGCTTCGTTCAGTTCATCCGGATATCGTTGGCGTCTTTCAGCGTCGGCATCGTGGATACCAAAGAGCCCGTCATCACTAGAGATGGTATCTCGCAGATCTGCGAGCACAGCCAGAAACTTGAGATGTGCAATACACTGATCGCGAGTGACAGTAGTCGAAGAAGATAGATGGGAACCTAGATCCAGCTGTGGCAGTTCTAGTGGGGGTTGCTCGACCTGGTTGTCCGAATAGGAAGGTGGTCGTTCACTGGAAGACTGGCCGATAACTTCGGATTTATGGGGTGCCTCTTTGGACATTTCATCCGTCAACACATCCATGTTGGCCTGTGATAAAGATATTATGTTGTGAAAGATGGTGTAAGTGTTGGTGAGTCAAGTCTGAGCGGTGGTCCGCCCCTTATATCGAGGTGACCTTGGAACTATATGTATCTCATCCGTATCTGAGTACACCCAGACAAAGACAAGTTAGCATGGGGCTTTTACCAACTTCATGACCTTTCATAGCCCCCGAGATGGACGAAATGAATGAGATGTAATGATGATCATTGTACTAATTGCCCTGAAGATTGGCACCTAAACCACCTTTGGCTAAGCCTTCACAAAATACGAAGATTTTAGTAAATGGAATCTTCGTATTCTTTTACCATCCAAGCCAATAATTTGGAAATGCTTTCTTCAATTTCATACTGGATTGGATGCGTGAACAGGGCGAAACCGGGCGCGGTTGCACTGCCTCGTTGCCTTGGTGGCTTCAGTAGGGCTCCGAGGCTATGTGGACACGCGCTGTATTCCGTATATTGTATGTTGTGGAAGTTTCTAGTGTCTTTCTAGCGCCTTTCATATGCTTGTACTGCATAATTGTGTACTCTGTACTATGAAAAGCGATAATATACTCTGTAATGTACAGCTCATTCGCGATCACGTGCTAGAAGAGCTGATTTCAGGTCACGTGGAGAAAATATAGGCATATATGGTCATGTGACATGCCCCTCTGTGATGACTTATCGAGTGCCCGGAAGAAGTGCGCTTACCGCAGTGAGAACGAGAAAGTTGAGATTGAGACGGTTTTGTTGGAGAAAGACAAGAAGGAAAAAGAGATAACCGAACTAATCTGCACTGCCCGGTCAATACAAACCCTGTGTCTGCGAATCCGTCCGAATCTCTCTCACTGTCTGAAACCGAGGTTTCAATCAGCAAAAAAACGTCATTCAGCCTGGCTCCTCTCGGGCGATCGAACGGCATTGGAGAGGGCCAGGCCCACACTCTTGCACAGATTGCGACAACTGATAATGCTTCTATTGGCACCAGTCCCGTAATGGCGGGTGTAAATCAGTTGCCTGTCTCAGTTGCCGCCGATGGCGTGCATGGTCGCAAACGCAATGTGACTATTGCGGGGATCGACAGTTCTCCGGGGAGTATCGAGGATATGGATGACAATGAGGCGCGCGAGGAGAAGAGACGTCAGCCAGTAAAGCGCGCTTGCAATGAATGTCGACAACAGAAAGTAGGTCTAGCATATTGCCGCAAAGTCTTCAGGATTCCCCAGTTTGACTAACCTTATCGGATTGCGACAGCTCCGATGCGATGTCATCCAAGACCCATGGACCGATTGTTCGCGGTGCCGTCGACTGAGACTTGGTTGTAAAATCGAGTCCAACTTCAAACGTGTTGGGAAGCGCAGTCGCAACGCGGAGATGGAGAGAGAAATAATGGAGCTCAGGAAGCAGATTGCTAGTGGCCAACCAGTCCCTGGAATGTCACAGCAACAAGCGTTGACCGGAGGACAATTGACACCCAAGCAAGAATCAAATCAAGTCAGTCCTGCAGTCTATCAAACCCCATCAGCCATGTCCGCAGATCAGTACATGGGATCTCAAGAAGCTGTCGCGTCCCTCCTGGACCTCCGTTCCGGCTTCGATGGTGCCAGCTTCATGAGGAATGGTGCACAAATCAGACGAATTGAGGATGTTATGGTTGCTCCCGAGAAAGTGGCAGAACTGTCTAATATGTGAGTCCTCGTCTGCCAAGTCTCTGTGTTTGGTCTAACTTGTTCCTGTCAGATTCTTCACATACTACCACCCTTTCCTTCCATTTTTGGACCGAAATCAGTCTCCCGATGATTATCATAGTTCCTCTTCATTGCTTTTCTGGACGATCCTCAGTGTCGGTGCACGACGCTATCAAGGCGATTCCAATTTGTTGAATTCTCTCGCTGGTCCTGTCAGCCGGCTCGTCTGGAGCACTCTAGCAGATATCCCTCAGAGCTACCATGTTGTGAAGGCTCTTGCTCTACTATGCTCATGGCCGTTCCCTACAAGCAGCACCTCAACAGATCCGACCTTCATGCTATGTGGAATGATGGTACAAGTTGCTATGCAGCTTGGTCTCCACCGGCCTTCTCACACTCAGGACTTTAGTAAATTCCGAGTGGAACTGATTGAGGATGAATTGAGAGACAAGGTGCGAACTTGGGCGATTTGCAATATTGTTGCTCAAAGGTATGTACAAAACCATAGTTAATTGCTGCTCGCCTTTGTCTCATATTTTACTTTGCAGGGTTTCCACCGGCTATGGACAGCCATCATCTACTCTTTACGACTGGACGTTGTCCTCGAGCGATTCGCTAGACCCGAACTTCAAGCTTCCTGAAGATATAAGGCCAAGATTGGAGATTGAAAAGTTCTGCGACAAGGTCACTCGAGCACTTTACACAAATCGACGCGATCCTGTTGGCTTAACCAGCGACCATGAACGCTCAATAATGATTGCCTTTCTGTCGCGAGACTTTGAGGATTTGGAAGAACAGCTTAAGTCGCAGAATGACTGTAAGCTCCCGAAAGTCAAGTGGCGATATATTGAAACATGACTAACCACATCCAGGTATTACTGACTTGTTCCTTCGTGCTGCTAACCTTCATTTGCACCTTTCGGCATTCTTTGACGAGCCGACCACTAAAAATTACCGCGAACGCGTCTTATCTCTGTATGTCGCGACGACATCATTCCTCGAGGTTGTCCTGAACCTTGAGACCGAGGTTGGCCCGGTTCTCTCTTACACCCCATACTATGTCTACCAGATGATGGTTGCCGCCGGTTGCACTCTTCTGAAGCTTTGCAAGAGCTTCTTCGCCTCTCACATAGACATGGAATACACCAAGAATCTATTCAACCGTACAATCTGGGCCATCCGGGGGGTGTCAGCGTCCAGCAATGACTTGCCTGAACGGCTTGCTGAAGTATTGGCTCAGATGTGGAGATTGGGGGGAGCGACTCAACGGGCTAACAATAGCACCGATGTTGACGACTCCCTGCGACTCAAAGTACGCTGTCGGATGAGCATGTCCTTGCTGTTCGACTCTGTGTGGCGCTGGCGGGAGGATGCCAGGACTAAGGGCCGAAACATTGAAGGTCAGTATCCGTTTACAATTTCTCCGGTAAAAATAAGCCGTCGTTAACCTTTCATTCTAGCCTATCTGAAAAACCCAACAAATCCTGACTCGGCAGCCGATTCCTCAGCCACTTCATCTGTCGGCCCTGTACACACATCTGCAATGACACCAGGAATCTCTGGGAATGATCCCAGCCTTGCCCCAGCACCCCTGCTATCCCAGGCTAGCCTTGGGATCCAACCAGCCACAAGCCAATCTAACGGACTTCCCAGTGGCTTCATTGAACCTAATTACGAAGTCTTCGATCCGTTGAACTGGCTGCTTGACGGGCTGGTAGACTTGCCTTACTCATACTCCACAATGGGTGGGATAGAATCCCAGGGCATCGCATAGATTGGCCTGTCTAATATTTTCTTGGCGTTATTGCCGGGTTTCTTTTCTTTTTTTGGGTGACTTGCGTTGTCTTTGTATCATTATACCACACACTCGATCGCCGATACTTCCCAAGGAGTTTCCAAGGTTGTTCTTTCCACGTCTATATTTATTATGGTTTGTTACGATGTTCTTTTCTTTTCCAATATGATGCTATATGTGTATATTTGGCCCAAAATCCTCTAAAAATATCCGTCAGAAAGTAGCCTCATGCAATTATAAAGTCCGGTACATTATGTACGTATATCACACCGAGTTAATTTCTGTCGCTTCTTTTTGCGACAGATTCGCTCCGTACGAGCAATTTCAACCTAAGGCACTGTGATATTATTGCTTTTCTCTTGTCTCATCCTTTTTGACTGGACGAAAACCTATATAATCTCGGTCATCCTGGCGCCCGTCTTGTCCATTTCTTCTCTTTCCCATTGCTTCTTTAGAATAAAATGGCCTTTCTTTATAACCCCAATTGGATCGAGGTGGAATCTTGGGTTTCTGCTATAGTGTTATGCATATTTGTTCCCTCTATCCTTTGCTTTGTGGTTGCGGTCGCTTTGGTGTTTACTTCCTGTCTCATGGCTAACGTTAGTGACCTCTCCCTATCTGGCGATAGTTAACCAAACCACAAGTCATAAGATGCTGATATATGATTTGCTGAACTGACAGAACCAAGTTCCTTTCCCTGCACGCAAAGACTATTTCTCGATCTTATTCCAGCAGTACAAGTTTGTCGTGGACGGGCCCACTATTATAAAGAAAGGCTATGAACAATTCGCAAATGGCTTGTTCGAGATCCCGCGGACATTTCGCTTCGGTCAGGTCATATTATGCCAGCCGGAGTTGATTGAAGAACTAAGAAATAAACCGAGTACTCTTGTCTCCCCCGAGCCATGGATTGATCAGGTAGGGCTGCTAGGGATTCTCTATGTTTATAAGCTAACAAATATTCCACAGCTCCTCCAGGTCTCTCATGTTATGCCTGGATACTTTCCTAAGGGAATGGGATGGCCGAAAATTGCTAAAACTACGCCTGGTTTGATTCGTGCCACTGTTTACAAGCACTTGCATCGGTATATGCCCGCTATGAATCAGGCAATCATTTCGCAGCTTCAGACCCTGGACTTCCAAAATGGGGGTAAGTTCTGGAGATTTTATAGGCGAGATAGTCTCTAACGGCTTCAACCAGAATGCAACGTCGGCTGTTTTGATTTGGCATACTCGATCGTAGCCCGCAGTGGCAGCTTTGCTATTGTCGGCTCGCGGCTTTCTCGGAATGAGGAATATCTTAAAGCTGTCAAGGACCACATCCTTGGGATGATAGTGACCACTCGCGTACAATTTCTTGTTCCAGATTGCGTGAAACCGTGAGTGAGATAGTCCATTGCTTTCATTTTCCGAGGACTAAGACACAAATAGCTACATCGGTGGGCTCATCGGTCGCCTCGCCACTCTTGGGACTAATTGGGATATGCACGCCTCGCGTAAGATTATGCTAAAGCACTTCGATGCGCGTGCAGCAGAATATCACGCCGAGATCTTCAGTGGCAACGGACCCAGTGAGACCAATCTCGATGAATCAGAAAATCCGGTATTCCTGCCTCCTCTTCCCCTTCCATCAACATGACTGAACGACCTATAGGTTGAAATCTTCCAATGGCTGTATGAGAGCAGTGTCCTTCGGGAGCGATGGACATATTCAGAGGTGATAGGCGAAATGCTGCTTCTGCAATTTGCCTTTATCTACACCACGTCCTATGTAAGTACTCTGTACGCATGTCCTAATCCCGCACTCTGCTAATTTAGCCAATAGGGACTCTACGGCGCCCTAGCTGAACTAGCTCGACGACCTGAATATATTGCACCCCTACGCGAGGAAATTGATCGAATTTTCTCTGAAATGGGCCCAACCGTTCCAGCCTGTGATGGCATGATCTTGATGGACAGCTTCTTGAAGGAGTGTCAGCGATTGCATCCCCCTTCGGCACGTACGTCTATATGCGACCACCCATGGGAATCGTGCATGGCTAATGCAATAATGTGGATATTAGTCTCTGCCCATCGGGTCTGTGTTAGTGACCTCAAACTTTCTAATGGTTTGTCCTTGCACGCACACTACAGGCCAAGGAAACATCGAGCTGATCGTGTATGGAATGAAACAGGTATTACACTCAAGCAGGGATCCCACGTTGCCGTCCCAAGTGGAATCATCCAACGATCCAGCGAGCACTATACGAACCCGGACGCATTCGATGGTTTCCGGTTCGTCAAGCGTGCAGCAGGTGGAGCCAAAGACTCCCGGCTGGTCGACCTGAGCCCTGACTATCTGGTTTTTGGAATGGGCGCACATGCCTGGTAAGTCTTGTTTCTGGCTGGCCCTTTAAATTTTCATCGCCTGGTTTCAAATCCAACTGCCCGGATCGTATCGGCTGACTTTTGCTCGTGTTTGCAGTCCTGGACGCTGGATGGCTAGTGCGCTCATGAAGCTCGCCTTCGCGCATACCCTGAATCAGTATGACATACTCCTTCCTAATTCGACTTCGCTCCCCTTGACCGGCTCGCTTTCATTCGAGGAGTTTTATGTGCCCAATTTCGGGCTGAAGATTGCTCTGCGCCAGCGCTAGTGAGGATATCTCGAAGGGACCAGGTGTCTAGGTGCATTATCACGTTTCGGCCGGGACACATTCATATTTATTTCAATTAATGTAGTGCTAATAGCCTCAAAATGAAACCTTGGAAGATGCGCTTGACGTCTTGACACTATCCGATAAGCTGATAAGATCTCGACTCCGCTTATCTCCAACTGTTTCAACTTCCTCTCTTCATCCTTTCCATACCTCACTGAGTTGGTTTGGAATAATGGCTTCATCAACTTCCTCCCAGAAATCTCGACCTCTTTTCATCCCACATAAGCGCGCTCTTATACCATTACCAACCAAGGGGCAAAACCCCAAAGTATACAAAATCCTCAACCCTAGCGCCATCCCCGCAGAGACGGGCATCAAACAGTCATACGAAGAGGCGACTCAAGAAAGAAATAAGCCCACAAGTTCAGGCGGGCATAATAAAAGCACAATTGAAGATGAAGAAGACCAGCCCCCGCACTTTGAAGTCTCATTCGCTATGCCGCCACAGCCCTTCCTCGACCCACCAACATGGGAAGCGATGCTGAAACACAGCCGCGAGAGACTAGCACAGTCAATAAAAGATGAACCGGGCTTAGTGGCCGATCAGGAAGATGAATCGGTCGAGCGAACGAGACAACGAGTGGAGCGCGAGACGGAGTATGGGTCTATGGCTATTCGGGGCCGGTCAAGTGTACGTGGGCGTGGGAAGAGGGGAAAGGGGAGAGGAAATGTCTACTGGGGTGGTAGGCGTTGAACGTGATGGGTTTAGCATGAGCTGAATGTTTTTAGATACCCCAGATGGGCAGCATAAGATGAATCAGACTAACAAATAGAGCCCAAAGGGAAGTCCCAAAGTTATATTAGTAAAGACAATTGGAGTACCTACCTAGGTAGGTACCTAGAATGGACACAAACAATGTAATTCAATCTACTTAACTATAGTCCAAGGTAGTCTGCCAAAATCCTCCCTGGGTGGCTGAGTGGGTGAGAGACACAAGGCCATCTGATTGCTGGGTATAAAACCATTATCTCATCTCTCTTTCTAGGTGAACGATGGCACCGTCCTTATCACGATCAAGGTTCCTTCTAATGTTCCGATACTTGATGCATTGATATACGGCGGATATGCTACAAGGGTTTAGGCCATCCCTTTGCCTCCCACTCGGTTAATAGGCCAGATTGACCACTTGAATAGCTTCCTTATAAACACCCAGGCTTCATTATTTATATACCTATCTTGTTTCATTACAATCTCTTGTCAGTATAAAACGGTGCTAACTTGGTCTTACCTAATAGAGTACATCCAGGCGTCTGCTCATACATTAATACATTACTCAATGTACTCAGTTATATCCAGTCCTGCAGCCAAGAGATTATTGCTTCATGGGCCATCTTATGTCACACAACGTGAAGCAAGGGGCAGCTTAGAACCCTTATTCGGTCCCGGACTGATGAACAGGCTGTAAATTCGATCCGCACACGTGTATGTATGATAGAAGTAAACAAAACAAGCTAGTGGTACATCTGGGAAGCCAACAAAAGCAGAGACAAAGAAATAAAAACAATGGAATCATCGTCATAGCTTCATGTTTCATAATCATCATAGATCTCATATCAAAAGATCATCTCGGGGCATCGAAGCAATTCCAAAAACAAAAAAAAAGAAAGCAAATGCATCGTGAAATCATCGGGTAAGTGTTTGAAATGCGTGAAACGTATCCAATCATAAATATGTCAATAACATGAGACGAAATAGAGAAAGGGACATCATTTAAGTCATCTCATAGCCACCTCGGCTGTAGCACTAGATGCCACGTAGACAGGGCCACCGATACTCTGCTTGAGGATTTCCCTCCGGACAGCCCGCTTTCTCTCGTCTCGTCGCTGGCGCACACGTCGCAGGCGATTCCGCACATTACGCCACGATATTGACTGGAACCGCAGTCCCCACCGAGAGAGAGACCGGAAGCGAGTCGGGTTCAATGGGGATCCTGCTCGGAACATGCTTTGGTCAACCAAGCTACCGTTGCTAGTCATTCCATTGAACAAGCGTTTCATTTCTGGGCTGCGGCGCGCCAGAGCAGCCGGGCCGTCGAAGATGATGCGGCGCTGGGGCAGGCCTAGAGAGTTGTTTACGATCAAGGATCCATCAGGGCGCGGTAAATATTCCCGCGTCGGCGACGGTTCTTTCTCTGGGGACCCGGGTACGTCTTCCCAGAATCCCCGGGGCCGCCAAAACGGATATAGACGACTGTCCATTTCCATTCCTGCGGTTCGGTTCTTGGCCGATTTCATGGAGAACGAGCGAGCTATAGTGTTGAAGGAATCCGACCGAGGGCGCGCGCTCCAGGTACGACGGACGGAACTCCATCGTTGACCGAGGCCTTTGTTTTCATCTTGAGCGTCATGTAATGGAAGCGGGGGAAGAGGCCTGGTGGACGGGGGCTTGGGTGGAGGGCGAGGATTTTTCAAAGGCGAGTCAACATTGAACGTTGTCATTTGTGATGGATTGTCGGGTGTGCGAGGGAGTTGGGGAAGATCATAAGAAATCCCAAGCGCTTGTAAAGGACGCCTCGAGGAAGCTTGTACGCGAGGGTCAACAAGCAGCAGTGAGTGATTGTTGTGCGCGAACAGGCTGACGGCTGTAGCCTCTTGGATTTCGATAGGTCCCGGCGAAGACGATGGAATCGAGCCTTGAGTGAAAGGCAAAGATGGAGGACGCAGGGTTGCCATATCATCGGAGCTAGCAAAGAGGGCGTGCATATTGGGAGGTTCGAGTAGACTATGGCGGTCAGGCGAAGCCAAAACGTTGTGACGAGGCGGGGACACCGGCTGATGCTCACGACGCTTTTGCATCTCGAGGTCAATGGCTAAGTCATGGCTTCGGAGACTGTCGGAAGTAAGGGAAGTCGCACGAGAATTGTTGCGGCTCGTTGGCGCAGAAAGCGACGAGCTTCGGGGTGGTATGGCGGGACGCTCGGCGGGACGACTTCGCAGACTGTTGGAAGTGAGAGAATTCGCGCGAGAATTGTTCCGACTCGTTGGCGCAGAAAGTGATGAGGCCCGGGGTGGAACAAGAGGAACGAAAGGCGGCCCCGTGGGACAGACCCTCGAATCGGTCTCGCGAGATCGAGTCGACATCGGATCAGAGACGGTGTGTTTCTTCTGCACTTGGATATCTGTGCGGCCCGTTGATGCTGTCGCAGGACGACGGCTTGATCGATGAGAACCCAGTTTGGAAGAAACGTGGCTGTTAGGACGGGACATGAGAGATGAACTTCTCTCCGGTATGACCACCACGTTGATAGTTTCGATATTGGGCTGTATTGCACTGTTGCTGGTCTTAGCTGAGAACGACATCTCGGATGTTCGGCTTCGAACATCCTGATCAGAAATGCGAGCGGCCTTGTGAATCAGGCGGCGTTGGGATTCAGGGAGGGAGCCACATGATGTACGCTCAGACCTTGTGATGGGAGAGCTCGCAGACCGCAGAGAGCTTCTCTTTTCGGTATGCCGGAGCATTCGCTGGGCTCGTTTGGGAGAGTCGATTATCATAGCCTCAACGGTGGATGTCGAGGAGATGACCGACAAAGGACGGGTGTCTGGTCCACTAAATCTTGCTGGACCCTCCGGCGATGACGACCCAATATTCTCACGGAACTTCTCCATTGAGGTGCTTGCTTTGACTTCATGCGCACCATTGACATGGTCTCGCAGACTTTTTGCCCTCATCAAAGAGGCATCCAGGTGCTTTACATCAAGCGCATCTCTCCCAGGGGTTGAGTTATAGACTGATTGAGTGTGGTTCTGTGCAGACTTGCGCTTTCCGGCCAACGGTGTTGGCGACCCATCGATCGAGTTTGCGGCCCAATGCCCATCAAAAGACTCGAATCCGGCGTCGCATTTGGTTTCGCTATGTCGTTGAGAAGCAGATGGCGGAGATCTTTTTATATTTGAAAGATATCCATTTGAGGCGGGTGGCTTTGATGGTTGCCTCCTTTGCTTTGGTGTCTGGGTTGTGGTCCGAGACATGCGAACCGGGGTGTCCATGTCTTCTTCCGATGAGATATTCTCCAAAGCCGTTTGAAACGAATCCGCTCGAGACGACGAGGAGAAATAATTAAACTGGTTCAAGGTAGGTCGCTTATTCGAGTTCGTTCGAGGAGGTGTCACATCGGGGGTTGGAGGCTTAGAGGGACGGCGAGGGGTCAACATCCCAGACGTTGGTATGTCTGACAGAGAAGAATTCATTTTCTGTGTTTGTTCGTCAACCACGAGTTCTTCATGGCCCGCACCCGGGGGTGTCAAGGGAAGCGACGGTGTCGCAGTATGTCTCCCATTCTGATCCGAAGAGACCGGTTGGATGACTTCAATGCTAGGAACGATTACACCCCGCCGAGGGAGTGTCTTGTGAGACCTTAGGAGCGGCCGTTCGAATGCTTGCAAATCCTCCGACGACCCCATCACTTCCACGCCCGGCATCTTGGAAACAGCACACCCACGAAGACCTGGAGCATCCACGGTCGCTTTTGTGGCTTCGATTAGCGTTTAGATACCTTTGAGTATCATGGTACGGAGTAGGATGTCTCGTTCAGAGTATCGCAAGTGTCGCATCGCGCGCGAGCATTTTGCGACCAAGATGCGACTAATAGTCAAAGTCAACGGTCCCTAAAGCCCCAAGGCTTTGCTTTGTCTCTGTATGATGTAGGGGGAGCCGATCGTCCGAGGTATATTCGAGCCCACCACAAAGGACAAGCAGCAGTTCAGTACGGAGTACGGAGCAAAGGCATATGTTTTAAAGATGGAGTCTGGCTCGACCTGTCTCTGCAATGTGAGCTGTAAGGGTGGGGATGGAGGATACTCTCGAGTGGCTGGGGAGTCCAGTCTCAAGCCCTCTTATCCCCGTGTTTCAGGTGAGTATGAGGCGATAAAGAATATTCATTCAAATAACATAGGATAAAAGAATTAAAACGGAATACAGTGTTCAAAAATGCTCGCATGAAAGATTGAATAATACGACGAAGGAGGTGTGTGTCTCCACGCCACTGTTTCCCGCTGCTTAGCGCCTGCTTCCTATTCAGGTAATATTGATGCCTTGCAGCCTAATCTCATTTCGACTTCATCACACTGGTGATCACACTGCAGATCCATCACACTAGCTTCTAGGTATGAGAACCCTCTCACATTCTGATCTTACCATGGCTTGGAGTTATTCTCTTATTAGGACTAGTTTCAGTGATGCAGATTTGTCCTTGAGTGTGGACCAGTGGTTACTGCACCCTACAATGTGCGATGTATATGCTCGACCTCACCTACAAATTGGCACCATGTGGAGATGCCAATAGTCCTCGAGCATAGAGTCGTCTGTGGTCTCGTGGCTCTCTCGCAGCCCTTACTTGGCATTGTTTGCCCTTGATGCAGGTCTCAAAACATACATACATTCCTAACATGCACATCGTTATTTCATGGCTCTTAGAAATGAAGAACTATAGATTCTAAGCAGCCTAGCCCAGCACAGCGTATTGTAATACCGCAGTATATATAAGATAATAACAAATAGTGCCTCGTATCTTGTATACAACACATCTATTGCTAGCTCCTATCCCAATTTTCACGATCTAAAAATCGATCCTCTGTACTTGATTGACCTTCCCTTGGATACATAAAGGTCTGTATCAACTTGTTCAGTGGCTTTCGCTTAAGGGACATGACTTCATCAGAAAATGGACACCTAGCCGATATTGTAGTACGAAT